TATATATATATATATATATATATATATATATATATATATATATATATATAAATATTTCCCTCCTTGATAATTATTGTTTTTTTATTTGTATATTTTATACTTTTTATTATATATATATATATTTTAGTATTTTAATTAAGTTAGATATTTTAATTTATTAATAATAATATTATAATTAATTAAATTAATAATATTCAATTATGTAATTGAGTACTTGTAAATCGCCCTTGGAAGTTTACTGAGGCCCTCTGCTGAATCCAGGGCCCTTGGTTGAGAACTACTGACATAAAGCATGCTTGTAGTACAATATTTCATATAAATAAATTATGCTTTGTTTGATACTTTAGCTGCTGCAGTGAGATTCATAAATTAGGCCCAAGTGTGGTTTGAGTGTCCAGATATTTTGGGCCACTGTGTATATATAGGCTAAAGTAATGTTGAAGTCATATGTTTTCTTATAAATAATCTGTAGCAGAGGTGCCCGCATTTTTGACTACCAAATATCTAAATTGATTGAGGGCTGTGGACAGAAAAATGGTCCTTTATATCTAGTTGTATTATATTATAATGCATTTTTAAAATAAAATTAATTTAGATTCTCTACATTTCAATGCAAAAATGAATAAAAAATTCATGTTAAAATAAAACGATCAAATTAATATAGGCCTATGCTTCAATGGCATTTTTCCTCCCTCTTGTGATTATGGTATGGCATGCCAAGTCAAAGGATTGGGCATCTCTGATCTACAAAGTGATGTTTATGTGACATTAGACAGATAAGATGTGATTGTTTGCCATTACATGTAGTCACTATCACAGTCACAATGACCTATAACATCTCTCGTGAAAGGTGACAGAGCATTTGTATAGCAGCAGATGAACAGTTTGAGACTTTCACACATGACATTGCGCTGTCTGGTAAACAGGAGTAAAATATTGCTGTGGCATTTCTATGCTCCATGTGTTGATGCTGAAAATGACAGCTCTTAATTCTGGTCTGGCTTGTGAAATTGGATGTCCGAGGTTATTAGCTGCCAGGTACATGCATTAGTGTGGGTCTGCTTTCACAGCGTCATATGTGAATGAAAGTGTAAAATAATCCTGTTGAAAGCAGCAGAACATATTCCACTCCGCCTGTATTATCCAGGAACGTGCTATTGTGAGTTCAATGCTGGTGATTCACTGAGTTCTACTTTCAGATGCAAGTGCACATTGTATTAGGTCATAACTTGTTTTCTCCCTTAGGCAATCTTACGGTTGCTTTCAGTGGTTTTCTTTGGTTGTTTAGAGGTTTTGGGTGGCTTTGTGTAACATACACTCTTAAAAATAAAGGTGCTTCACGATGCCATAGAAGAACCTTTTTGTCTAAATGGTTCCATAAAGAACCTTTAACATCTGAAGAACCTTTCTGTTTCACAAAAGGTTCTTTGTGGCGAAAAAAGGTTCTTCAGATTATAAAAAGGTAAGAAAGAAATGGTTCTTTAAAGAACCTTTGACTGAATGGTTCTTTGTGGAACCAAAAATGGTTCTTCTATGGCATCGCTTGAAGCACCTTTATTTTTAAGAGTGTAAGTCTTTATTTGTTGTTAGTACAGTTTGCACGCATAAAGAGGTTTTCTGTAAGTCTGGTGTGACGTGTAGGTGTGTTTTGCCTGTAAAGAGGAAGTATTTGATGCAGTGAAGTTTTGCCATCACTCACATTATTTCACAGTTGTGAAATAATTGCGGCTATGGTTGCTGACTGCAGTCATGTAGATTAAGGTGTGGTGTTTGAATTAAGGGAGTGCTGCTCGCTACAAAACCAGGTGAGGCGATTAACCCTTCAGAAACAACTTTTGCTTTTACTGAAAGAAAAACTTTAATCTGCCAAATTAAAGAAGAATGATTATTTAACAGGCTTTGATGTTGTAAATACAGCACAAATGAAATTCTTTTGTAACTTCAAGCCTTACTTGAACCTAGAGGCGGTATGAAGAATAATGTGATGTGAGTCATTTTATATCACAGTAATGGTATATATTACACGGGGCTCGCAAAATCGCTAGCCCGACGTCTTGGGGCTATTGTGTTTTCCAGTCGGGCTACCAAAATATATCACCACTCTGCCTGACGGGCTATCTTAAATGCAGATAAATGCTATCTTAAATGAAATGTGTTTATGCGGTTTAAGGTTAAAAAAACACATTATTTTCCACATACTGTACATTATTGTGTACAATTACATATTGTGATGCCGTGTCCCGGCCAGAGCGAAGAGACCAAAACATTAAAACCCATTATAAACTAGGCATTTGTTGCATCCAGTGGGGACATAATTACGGATTATAATGATTTTTACTGTCTTTTTACACTTTGTGTTGCATCACGCCGTGTAAACATAAAACCATGTCTGCATTTGTGATCAGAGAAATGACAAACAACAAGCGGTACTCTACACCGCTCAAAACTCGCGTTTGAATCATCAGTGGCAAATCCTTTAAATATGAAAAATGGTGAACCCCCCGCCCCCCTTGAAGGTCAAGTTAATTTTATTTAGTTATATTTTCTCTATAGCACCAGATCACAACAGAAGTCATTTAAAGTTACCTTTCCTATAGAACAGGTATATACCTTGTTCTTTTATTAAACAAACTAAATAGCCTTATGTTATTTATCTTGTTTACACGACGGCATGTCATTTTGGTCTCTACGTTATGGTCGCGCACTCTGCATCACGCACAGCAGAGTTCCGCCCACACACACACAAGTGAGCCCACTCCCACTAGTATTTGTTAATATTAAGTATTTATATATTAAATATGAATTCTGCATGTCTCTGTGCTAATGAATGGTGCAGACGCGCGGTT